TGTAGGTTACGATATTGATTTGTCATCCGATGCTGCTAAAGTAACAGCTTACCATCGTTTTCTTGAAACCTGTAAATTTGCATTTGGTCTAAGGGCACATCTTGGAGAAGTCAGCACAGCTGAAGTTAATCAGGTAAGGGGATAGTAACACACACAATGAGACATAGGCCTATGCTGACTTCAAATGTTTTGCTTTCCAATTTTTGGCACTGAAATTATGATATTGCTTGGTCGGCTGACGTCTGCTATCCATTCAATGATTTTTAAAAATCGATGATTTTTCCGTCTAAATTCATATCAATGTAAACAATTATTTTCTTTTCGTCCCAATTTGTTGTCAGCTTGCACGAGAAAGCCATTGATGTATCTATGAAAGATAATGAAACCCACACTTGCGTTATTTTTGTTTTTTAAGGTCTTGAATGATTTGGCATCTGAGGACTTCGCCCGTAAGATCCGAGACACTATAAAAAGCGATATGGTAACTTACACAAATGCAAGTTATTATAGTAACGGACAGGTTGACGCTACAGACAACTTGGGAGGCACGAGTCATGTGAGTGTTTTGGCTGAGAACGGAGATGCTGTTTCTGTGACTACCTCCGTAAACTATTAGTAAGTAAAGCAGTTCTTGTTCATACCTCGAGACATACATTACAGTTACAAGTTACTCTCTCGTACATTTATAGGTGTATTAAAACGTCCGTGCATGGATATGACACTGCGAGTTTTTCCTTCTCACCTCACGAACGTTGCTAATTAATTAAGGGCATTTTTCATTTAAAAAAAATATATTTGCTTGAATGTGTGATGATTTTTTTTTTCTAATTTTGTTATATTTAGCTTTGGTTGCAAAATCATGTCGGCCACAACAGGTATTATATACAACAACCAAATGGCGGACTTCACGATTCCTAATTCGGAGGTTGAGTACCAACCAACGAATCAAGCCAACTACGCAGGTCCTAACAAACGTGCTTTATCATCCATGAGTGGCAGCATACTCCTCGATGAAAATGGTGATGTCAAGTTAGTCA